GGATCATGAAATACAAGTGTGAATCCTTCTGTGTGCATGTGTGTATGATGAGACTGTTCTGAGCCGATAGTATTCCTCAGTTAAAGATAGTGGTATAAACAAAGAGGAACACCAGGGGAAGTTGGTATTCAGTAGTTGATGGCACAGGTGTAACTAATACTAATAATTAGTGGTATGGCAGGTAAACAAAGAGCAAAACAAATAAGAGTGGTGTACCTGAGGCTGAAGCCATGTCCACAATCATGTGCAATCCATGTGCTTTTAAAATGGTCATTTTTGCTTACTCAAATCTCCAGTTGGCCTCCATGATAAAACAGACACATTTTAATCTAGGTATTGAGCATTGTTTATAATAATCAAATTAACTATGTAACTATGTGTAGTTAAATATAAGAAATAGTCTATGAAAAAAAAAAAAAAAGAGACTTGCGAGATGCTGTGCTCACTTTATCAGCCGTTAGCTATTTTTCCAATAGATGAATGTTCCCTGCTTTAAAAAAAAAAATAAAAAAATTGTTACATAGTGTCAAAAGAAAAAGTAAACAGTTTCCCCTGCACAAGATGTCTGTTTACATCTTTATACTAATCATCCTAACATCAATGCAGTCAAAGGATTTATTGCCTGTCCAAATGTTGCCCATTTATTGGTGTAATCATCTCTCACATGGTGAACTATGATTCTTCTTTTGATGTGTTGTGCCAACATTTTAATCGACAAGCACTCACTCTGACACCTGAGGCAAACGGAGCATATAATAAAGTTTCCCGACCGAGCCTGCTGCTGAGGCATCGCAGGTGTTAACACGCCTGCTGCACTGTGTTCGACGCAGCACGCAGCCTGTGGATTTAGACGGGCCAGAGCAGACAGATGTTGTGGTGAGGAGCCGCAGTGATGGAAACTGAAACTGATGGGATGTCACAACATTGTCTCAGATTCCTGTGGGTAATGTGACACCTATTTCCATGGGTAACTTACATAGACAAGATCCATTTCATGTTCTTAAAAAAGGAAATTCAGTACCGTTTCTGGATAATTGCACTATATTCTCCCTGCTTGCCCAGAGATAATCGTTAAGTCTTAAAGATTACATTCAACTCTCTCTTTTCAGATCGTAGATGTCTATGAGAGCAAATTGTGAAGAAAGGTATATGAAAGTGTCAAACTCATCCATAAAATCATGGATATTATGCCGAATACAGAACACAAGAAACAAATATCCATTCAATAAAACCATAGATTTAAAAGAAATAGCATTTTTCATATCTCCTGTGAAAAAGAGAAAACCCTTTAGTGTGTGACGTGATGCATTAGCCTGCTGCTGCACAAAAACACCATACTGTAAAGTGTCGCAGATGTCCTTCACCCTCCATATTTCTACATAACCAGAGTTCAATGTGATTTCTGTGGATGTTATTAGGTGGATTTTTCACTATTGAGCATTAAACTAGAAATGGAACATTCAACCTTAGTGTACTGCCGCTGTAACATGAGATTATCCCCTGAGGATGAGAAATGATTGTGAATCTCATGCAAAAACTATGTTAAAACTGTTGCTATGAGACGACCCAGTATTAGGCAAGGTGTGTTTTCCACTTTAAAGAGGAGCTGCTCCTATTAGGTCAATCTCACTGCTCAACATGTTGTGCCTTGACACTGTGAAGGAAAAATGGGAGTATCCACACATCAGACATCTCTGCCTCACAAGTCTTTGGAGCTTTAATCCAGCGTTCAAATCCTCTGCTCTGCACCTGGCCTACATACAAGACAGCTACTTGTCAAAAACATAAACCAGTAACAAGAAGTTAGTCTTAGTAAGAAGGAAATTAATTTCTCAGAAACAGAGTATTTTGTCAGATCACTGTTGCATGGGCGGACTTTCAGACATTGGGACTCTGGGCACAGACATGCAAGACGCCCCATCACCTCATATAAGCAAGGCACACATTATAGTTGTTAAGATTCTTTTGGTAGTTACTTTTGAGTAGGGATGTAACGATACCAAAAACTCACGGCACGATAATATCGTTAGTCATTCTGTACTCCTGGTGACGCTATTATCAGTACATTTGTGTCTCTTTTAACTTGTTTTTGACTCTTAGTAGTTGTTTTGAGACTCTCCGTGGTCTCTATGTGTTCATTGTTGGTGTGTGTCTCTTTGAGGGACATTTTAAAGGTGAATGCCATTGGGTCTTCTCTGCCTGTTCAGTTATTAATCCATGGACTTTAACACCCCACACACACACAAATCCAGCACCAGACACTTTTTACGCTGCTCTGGACAGTCTTGCACTAATGTACATTTCTCAAAGATATTGAAGTGACTGTTATTTTGAATATACTGATTTTTGTGCTTTTATTTATGTCTTAAATGTGTGCATATGTATAAATGTGTTTGTTGATTGTGTGTATATATATTGCATTCTCAGTCTGTACACACAAACTGAAAGATTGACTTTGATGAATGTTTAAGAAACACAACACAACACACCAGTACCTATACATCTGCAGTAACAGTGTTCTCTGTGCTTGTTGGCAGGTGGTGTTCTCATGAGGTCGTCTATGCTGGTCCTGTTCCTCCTCATCAGCGCCCAGGCTGTGGCCGCCATCTTAGGAGCAGCACAGCAGCAGGGTCCAGGCAACAACTCCAACACCATCCCCACAGTGGACCCTAAGCTCTTCACCAAGCGCCGCTACCTCTCACCCAGGGTGCTCTTCAGCGACCAGCCGCCTGATGCAGATCCGGCGGGGTCCCAGGGGGGCGTCAGGAGGACCCCCAGGAGAGCGGGGCAGCCTCAGCACCGAGGAGTCTACTCAGTGTGCGATAGCATCAGCAACTGGGTGGGCAACAAGACCAAAGCCACAGACATCTCAGGCAATGAGGTGACGGTGCTGCCGGACGTGAACATCAACAATGTGAACAAGAAGCAGTACTTCTTTGAGACGACGTGCCACAGCGAGCGCTCCGGCAGCTCCGGTTGTTTGGGGATCGATGCCAAACACTGGAACTCCTACTGCACCAACTCACACACTTTTGTCAGAGCGTTGACCTCGTTTAAGAACCTGGTGGCCTGGAGGCTCATACGCATCAACGTGGCCTGTGTGTGTGTGCTGAGCCGTAAGTCATGGCGTCAGTAAAGACTTTCCATTCACATCACAAACACACTCAATTACAAACACAGACATACTCATCACCAGAGACTTCTCATCCTCTAAACAAAGTAAGTTATTAGTATATGTCAAAGTATCAGGACTGCACAACAGCCCTGGGTCAAATAGCTAGTAGCGGGTACATTACCAAAGATGCTGTGACACTTAGCATCATACTGTCCTTGCTGCAGGAGACACCACCACATGTGTTCAAATGTGTATAAATCCTTTGTGACATTAATTGTCACAACACTTCTTTGGGTCTAAACACTTTACAGTGTGTTTAAAAGAAGTGAGCTTACCAAACCTCTGCAGCGCACTCCTCATATCTGCCAGTTCCTCTTCACAGCAGACATTTTGACACATCACTGCAGATAAACACAGGTGTTATTAATACCACTCATTATGGCTCTGGTATTGTGGCTCACTGGAATTAACTGGACCTTAATTACCTTAATCAATTACACCTGTGTACACCCTGCAACCACATGGCAAAATGGCTGCTGTGAATGTAGCCTATTAGCTTAGAGGCTGCATGTATGTTGCATTGTGGGTAATGTAGGCACCAGGTTTTGATGCATGGAATTAAAAAGACAATATTTCTGGTTTTGCTGCATCTATTTTGTATTCCTTTTGTATTTGACATTTAGTACAGTTATTAAACAGTATCAGAATGTGTACCCTGTCCTAAATTCAGATCATTTTTAAATAGTATGATTATTTTAAACTTGTTGTCTATTTCCAGAACAGCCAAAGCCAAGCCATGGCTGCAACCACATCCAGCTACAGTCCTTCTCACACTGCATAGATGTGTACTTTACCTTTCATTTTTAGCAATTTGATAAACACGGGTTAAGCTGAATGACAGCTCAACTTCTCCAAACTAATAATATGAGAAGCCACAGATGATGTAAAATTGTGAATATATTTTTTTAATGAGTTGCAGCCGTCGATATGTCCATAATGACCTGCTGCAGAAAAACTACATTTAAAATAGCAATTTAACCTTATCGTGTACTTTATCATGTTCTACTTCCACATGACCTTTAACCTGCTTTCCACCTCTGCAGCAGATTTATTTCTAACCTGATGCGATGACCTCTAGTGGCATACAGGTGACAACTACAAGACATTGAAACTGGGTTTTAAGCATACACTGTATTTCATTTATATAAAGTCTTTGGTGGAACTAGACCCTGGTGCATTTTAAACTGCAGCTTATGAAGACACATAATTGGTGTTTAACAAACTACCATAGACTGTATAAACCTACTTTAAAGGCATCACAGGTTTAAACCTGTCTTATACCGCAGCTCAGTTTGTGCACATCAACACAATCATGCTGATTACAGTGTTTTCTTTTCTTCACCCATTATATATTCCTATAGCACACCACACTCACTATAAGTGGACTGAAGCAACCCACACAGTTTAGAAATACAGTTTGACCCAGGTCTGATATAAGAAAACTTTGGTAAAATGTTGTTGTTTATTGTTATTTATTAAACACTTACATACATGCACTGTGTGTTTCTTGAAGTTTGTTGTTTATGTATAAAATGTATTGTTCCTCAGAGACTGAGGACAGAGCAACCCCTTTAAACGAAAAAAAAAAATGTAGCCTTAGCCTTGACAGAAAAATGAGTTGAAAACCCATATGGTTTCATTTTACAGCCACTAATTTGCTGTTTTGGCTTAGCTTTATGTTTTCCCCCTGCTCTTTATTCTACAGTGGATATGAAACAATGGGAAAATACATAAACATGTATTTATGAAGGCCTGTGATTCATCATCTAACTCTAAGTGATAATATTATGGCTCGCCATTTTCTGTTTTGGCTTTGACATTTAAGTGCTGTCAGCGTACTTCACATTGTTCTTTAAAAAAATGCAGTCAGTATTAGTAGATATTCAGGCTCAAAGCTAAATGTTGTATCACAGCTGACATTTAAGATGTCTGTGGTGACACTGCAGAGCTTCGGTGTAATGTGGAAACAGAAGCTAAGAGTTTTATTTGGAAAACTACACTTTTAAGAGAAGTCTCAAAATGTATAATGTCTACCTTCCAACTGTTAATACCCATTTTTCAAAGACAATTTGTTTAGTTAACTACTGAATTGTTTACTTCAGAGAACTGCTCCAAAAAAATACAACACTGCCCTCTGGAGGTCAAAGGGTAGAACTTGTCTAATATGTTTAATGAACCTCACAACAATAGATCAGTTATTACAATCATAAATGTAATACTTCTGATCAGACACCAACATATAAGTAAGAGACTTTAAAATGTATAACTTCCAACATTGTAATACCCAAAAGTACCTAAAGTCATAGTACTTGTATGTGATTGGATTCTTCTTATAGGTGCCTACATGCATGGACGTAATTTCCACTGGGGACAGGGGGGACATGTCCCCCCCACTTTTCAAAATCCCATTTGTGTCCCCCCCCCACTTTTAAAATGTGTTTATTATTATTGTTCTCAAAGTGACCAGATTGATGAATTCAACTTAAACTTAAAGAAAAAAATCTTCTCGGGGTGCATGCCCCC